AATGGCTCGTTTCCAGAACCAAATATCCAAGCAAATGAGAAACTTCTATGGGAGGTAGACATTCCCCGTTAAACTGCTCTTTTGGGATGCTGGCCGGGTCGACTCCGATAACAGATATTTTTGCTAAATATCGCTCTTTAACTCGAGTTTCCAGCCCTTTCACGTAATCTGAAAGCACTGGTATAGCTTTGCTGAGTTTTTCCGAGTCATCTTTGAGTTCAGAATCCATTGAGAGGTCGCAAGATTATCAGCAAATTAAGGAATCTAGAAATGGCATAATATTTCCCTCTAATTTACAAGTGATAACACGCTTCGAGGGACACCAACATGGCGGATCAACTAATTTGCACAATCTGTGACGTCACGTGAAAAGCAAGGATTGAATATTGCTACAATTGGCTTGCCATAGTGGATCCCTACTGTGGCTATAGGGGAGCTAACTATCAAGGGTGGCATAGGGTACCAGTGTAGTTCATTAATTAAGAACAAGTGAATAAGACACTGCAATGTTATCTATTTGACATAGTTTATTGATATAAATTAAGTATGTATGCAAGTCTGCAGCAGGCTAAAACGACGCCACGTGCAAGCCTTTGAATAACTGAAATTTATCGCACCACGAAAAGAAAACAAAAGTGCCACCAAAGAACAAAGTTTACCGAAAGTGAAATTGCAGCACATCCAATCAAACGCGTTTTATACTTTTGGTCCCATTCCCCCTCGTCCATCTACAGTGTAAAGCAAGAGTTTGCAAGAGTTTTTTTTGTCATAAAGATTAGTCTGGAGTAATTAGGATATATAATTATTACACCATTATTTATACTGACCTTGCAATATTTAAGAATCCATCAGTTGTTAACTACCTTTTGAGAATATGTGATTTTCCTCTTTGATTTCCAAACAAATAATTTGTTGCCTCCTTACTATTTGGCAGATTTGATATCGGTTATTGCCTTTGTTTGGTTTAATCACTCACATTTTAGTCAAACTCTTAGTGTTTCATTTTATTGAGTCAGTTTTAATAGTCATAATTGTGTATGTGTTTACCAAACTCGCCGATGCAATGATTTTTACATGTATATACTAGAATAGTTGCTAACTTTATGCAAAAAGGACTTATAATTAAATTGACTTATCAGGCTTGTTTCAGATTGTGTTTGAAACTTATGAAAACAGAAATTGCTTGTCCTTTAGGGCTATTATTGATGATAATAATTACAACTTTCTCTGATTAGCCTTTTTCCTTTGGCTCAATCATGATGACTTTTTTAATTAGACCATGTGGATAGACAAAGAGCGCAAGGACCAGCTGCACAGTTGGCTTATGAAGAGGCTTTAAAAGATGGATATGTACAAGTTTACCGTGGTCGTGTTATACTGGTTGGTCAGGATCGCGCCGGTAAAACCAGTCTGAAGAAGAGTCTCTTAGGCCTTCCATTTGACCCTAAAGAACAGAGTACTCAGGGGATTGAAGTGGATCCTTCAAAGTGTGAAATTGATGTTGATCAAGCTGTTAAGAACTGGCAGTTGACCAGGGAGAATAAACCAGGATTACTGGAATGTTCAAAAGATGTAGCAAAGATTGTGGTTGGCAGAATGTGTGGAGCAGATATTTCTCAATTTTTAAAGGAAGAGACAATTGATGGAGGACAACTGGAATTAAAAGATGAAGTTGAAGATGTTTTCAAGTCAAAACAGGTTGCTGAGTTTAGTAAAGTGTTGAGAATTTTATAATTATGTCTATATAACTCTTTTGCCCTAGGGAAGGTCAGAAGAGAAATGGAAGACAAAGAGAAGAGGAGGGAGGAAGGCAGCCAAATTAGCCTCTTGAGAAAATTTTTTTTAAAGAGAATGAATAGGATTTAAACTTGATATTTTTCAAAATTCTTTTCTTTATGAAAATTCTAAATTTCTTACAGTCAGAATGTGTCTGAAACAGTCTGTTTCTTTTGGATGTTTTCACAAATGTTTAGATGAAACTATAATTTTATTTACACATCAGGTGAAAGAGAACTGCGAGTAATTTTTATTTAAACATCTTGAATGAAGGCACATGCAAAACTTTTACCATAAAAATGAGGGGCATCTTTTGATTTTTCCAATCTTTAATTGCTTTTCCAGTGATGTCTTCACTCAGCTTAAAGGAAATTTGAGATTTTTTCTCCAATTATGTTATATATAAATTTTTAGTTTTAATTATTTTTTATTATTTGATGATATAAGTATTTCATAATTTTTGTTACATTTTGGCTATAAAAGTTCTCAATGGAGGAGCTTCAGTGAGTCTATGTTCTGTAATGTAATTGACTTCAATCTCAACAAACATTTCTTGGTCTGAGTTGACTAGCTCCAGGGTGGGAGGATTTGCTCTTCAATTTCTTAATCTTTGCAATTGAAGTTTCTCTCTGTCTAAGGACTCTTGAGATGTCAGCTTCAGAACACTTTTACAGTAGCCAGTTTACATAGTCTGAGTTGGTAAACCAAGTTATCTTGTTATACCCCCTCACTATAGCAGCACAAGTGTTTTTTGGAAACTTGCCCCCTGCAAGTTATTCTTGACTGAGCTGATCATAACGTTTTACCATTTAGCAGCCTGTTCATAATGTAAAGCTTTGATTACATAATTATATACACATAAGTGAACATTTTGTCTCATTTAATTCTTCATTCAGGTTGAGGAGGGTGAAAGTTTCAGAGATATTGTGGAAAACCATGGCAATGAATATTCTACTGAATGTAAAGATGAAAACATGCAAGCTGAGCCTGATGTGATGATTGATGTTTCTCGGCCTCCTGATACTGAGGAGCATGTTTATCAGTGGTTGGAGTATGCTCAGGGGAAACCCACTGAAAGTGCTTTATTCACAGAGGAACCCTATGTTACAATGGACGTGTGGGACTTTGCAGGGCAGCACTTGTACTATGCGTCG